CAAGCAGGAGGCAGGTGGATGAAGAGCAGAAACTAGAACTTTATTCATGAAGGAATGAAGAATCCAAAACTGTCCCACTAATAATCCTGGGTTATCTAATCCCACTTTTACCAATCAGGCCCTGCTAATCTGAGCCTAACAAGAACAGAAGTCAGCTGAAAAAGCAAAGCTGACTAAACTTAGAATAAAAGACAAGAAACACAAAGATTAAGGCTACAAATCTGTAGAAAGCTGCAAACTAGAAGGAAGCTTTAACTGTTTGTGACATGAAGTTCCTGAAAGCAGCCTGGCTGCTGCTTCTGGATCCTGGACTGAGATTGTTTTACTCACTGAACTGAACTTCACACACATGAACTCTGAGAGATCATAGTGATATCTCACAAATTCTTCTGGCAGGAGAACTGCAGGGCTGATCATTCCAAGACTTCAGATCCAGACCTTTCAAAACTGCACAGTCTTCTGCATAAGCAAAAATACCATATCCATTGTTGGGCTCTCCTCGGATCCAAAAACTAAAGAACAGGAAAAACAGGTGATTTTAACTCTGACAGAACTCAGTGAGTTTAATTTGTAAATAAAATAAAAATGTTTCTAAAAGAAATTAGATGAAACCTTTCACCCAGAGGAGATCCGTCCACCCACAACCAGGTGCCTTCTTTCTCTGAGTCCGTCAGTCCGATCCAGAATCTGTCTTCATGATCATTTATCTTGCTCTTTATTCTTRCCATCAGAAACTCCTGAGCAGTAAAAGATGAAAATATCTCTGAGACTTTCCTGACKTGAAGAAACTTGATGAAGTGATGAAATGTGTGAGAACATGAACCTGCAGCAGTGTTTCATACCTGCTCCTCTCTGCTCTCGATCTTCACTAGGTCTCCTCCAAGATCTCTGCAGAAACTTCTGCTGTCCTCCCAGGAGGCTTTAGAGGTGGAGAATGTATAACACTTTCCTCCATATTGCTCCCTGCCTGCTCCACACATCAGGTGTATTTTATCTTTAAAAAGATGAAAGCTTCATTGAGTCAGGAGGAAGAAATGTGTGTTGATGTTTGTGTGATTTGGAGGCAGCAGGAGACGTCTTCTGTCCTGCAGTTACAATCTAACTTCCTGTATCTGTCAGTCCATCAATGTTTCTGTAAAATCATTACAGGAGAGGAAGGACACAAACACTACATCCTCTACTTACTGTAACTTTCAGGAGGAGGACATGGAGGACACGGAAAACGGTTTAGACATGGACGAGGTTTAGGACATGAAGGAGGAGGAGGACATGTTGGCTGATCTCTCCAGATCCTTTCTGTTTAAAACAATAAAAAGCATTTAAATTCAGTTTATCTCATTTCTACGGAAACCCTGAAAGGCAAGGAGGGCAAATGTTTTTTTGAAGATCCAAGTCTGATCAAATTTTCCGTTTCTCTTAATTTTAAGTCATAAGGCGAGTAAAAAATAAATAAATAAATAAATAAATAAATAAATAAATAAATAAATAAC